GTCAGCTCCCTGTCCCAGAAGGTGGTTTGAGACTTGGTTGCCGAGGGGCGAAGGGGGGGGGGAGAAGGAACTCTGAGGTGAGGGACTTCACCAGCCCAGGAAGGCAGGGTGCAGAAAGAAAAAAAGACCCAAAGCCAATGCTAAGGGCAGTCACCAATCCCCCCCCCCCGAGTGGTTGGATGGTTGGTCGCCAGTTGGCCAAGGGAGAGCGGGTGTCCTTTTGGGATGAGCAGAAAAGTCAAGCCCCACCGCCAGCAGGCAGAGAAATCAGCAACTTGCAGAACCAACAGAAGGGGTGGGGTGACTCTGTTGCTTGACTTGCCAAGAAAACAGGCAACCCCTGAGTAAAACCAAAAAAGAATTCAAGCCCAGTTTCCCACCCCTTACAGGGAAGAGAGAAAAGACAGGCGGCAACCAGGCATTGCAGTGGAGAAACGCAGAAAGGGGGGAAACGGCAAGAAAAGGGAAGCAGAGGTTGTTTGTTGTCTGGCGATTGGTATTGTCGCCAGGAGATCCAGCTGGTTTCTCCACCCACCCATCCACCCCAGTAAATTTTCTCCCCACCCCAGGCTCACCGCGAGATTTTTTCCGTGCGTAAAAGGAGCACTGCACTGTAAGAGACCGCAACGTGGACATGTGACCTTCGAGCCGGTCCATTCAAGCCCCCCCAAAGGCAATGGATTTTGGTTCGGGCTTCGGGTCCGTGCCCATCCCTATCAGAAACTGATTTATGATGGTAGTAGCCTACTTCATTGGTTGAATGTGGTGTGGATAATGGCAAAATTAGACTGCTGTGCAAGTAATAAGATGTCATGGAAGCACATAGTATGCTTAGTGGATTATATGTATTGCTCCTTTCAGCCCATCCTGACAGTATGAGGCTGCAGTCGTTCATATTACAGAAGTAAAGGATGATAGAAGTATAATTAATTCAGTTTACATGAAGCAATATGCTTTCAGGGAGTGTAGAGGGTGAGGTGTACTGAGTACTGAAATGATATTTCAGCTCTTCTATTGTATTTAATGGAACATAGCAATGATTTAAGGACTGTGCGGCTCATTAGTGTGCAAATAAATACTTTTCCTTGTGCTGACTGTAGGATCTGTAGCAGCAGCTAGAAACATATTGCATGATTCTTCAAGCAGGGTAGAACCGACAGGATCTGAGAAGCATCCTGTTCTGGGTGCATTTGATGCAAAGGGATGAAGGGGGAAATACTTCCATTTGTACAAGTGGGGATACGGTGGATAAGGAAAGAGGATAAAGTAGAACAGGACAGCCAGTCAAAGAGGCCAAAGGCCCGAGTGGAAAAGGCACATGCCAGAGATGTCCAAAGAGACGCACAGTGTTGGAGCTATTGTATGCAAAGGCCAGAAGCTTGTGACCCCAAATGGGGGAATTAGAGTGCTTGGTTTTAAGGAAAAACATAGATATTGTGAGCAAAACAGAAACCTGGTAGAAGGGAGAGAACCGGTAGGATACAGTCATCCTGGGATACGAATTATAGGAATGACATGGAAGGGCATACTGGAGGAGGTGTTGCTATATATGTCAAGGAGAGTATAATGTCTAACAAACTAGAAACCTTTAAAAGGCAGCTTCTCCACAGAATTGCTGTGGGTTGACAATACCAGGTCCAAAAAGTAAATTAGTCCTGGGGATGTGCTATTGGCCCCCTGACCAAAACGCTCAGGATGATCTTGAAATAGAAAATGAAATCCGGGAGGCATCCAAAGGAGAGGGAGTTGTAATAATGGGTGACTTTAAGTACCTTTGTATTGACTAGATAAATGACTGTTTTAGCCACATCAAGAGCTAAAATTTCTAGATACCCTAAATGACTGTGCACTAGAACAGCTGGTCATGGAACCGACCAGAGGGGAAGCAACTCTGGACTTAATCCTCAGTGGTGCTAGCCAGAACCGAGTGCGAGATGTGGAGGTAGTTGAAGGAAACCATGATCACAATGGCATCAAATTTAATTTACATGCATATGCGAAAATACCAAAGAACTCTCAACAGTTATATTTGACTTCAAAAGAGGAAACTTCTCTAAAATAAGAAATCTAGAAAAAAGGAAGTGGAAAGGAACAGGCCCAAGATGGTCAAATCTCAGGCTTGGGGGTTACTGAGAACCTCAATACTGGAGGCTCAGAATGTATACCACAGGTCAGGAAAGGTAGTACAAAGTCTAAAAGGTTACCAGCATGGCTAACAAGCTGGGTGAGTGACAAAGGCTTCCTTCAGAAACTGGAAGGCTTATCCAAATGAGACAAAAGCCAACACAAACTTGTGCAAAGAAAATGCAAGCAGACAATTGAGGATGCAAAAATGGATTCTGATGAATGTATTGCTAAAAACATAAAAAACTAACATGGCTACCCATCTTGATCTAAAAGCATAAAGACCAGCAATAAGGAATTATTTAAATACATTAGGAGCAGGAAACTGACTAGGGAAGCAGTTGGGCTATTGGATGGCAATGGAATTAAAGGAGTACTAAAGAAGGATAAGGAGACTGCTGAGAAGCTACTGAATTCTCATTTGTCTTTACTGCTGAAGGTATAAGGCAAGTACCTGTTCTTGAATGGATGTTTTCAGGAGGGGCTGTGGCTCAGTGGTAGAGAATCTGTTTGGCATGCAGAAGGTCCCAGGTTCAACCCTCGGCATCTCCAGTTAAAAGGATCAGGTAGCAGGTGATGCAAAACACCTCAGTCTGAGACTCTGGAGAGTAGCTGCCAGTCTGAGAAGACAGTGTTGGCCTTGATGGATCATTGGTCTATTTCCATATAAACCAGCTTCTGAGCTTCAGAAGGGGAGGAAATAGAGCTTAGGTAAATAGTAGTGAGTACTTACAAATTGCAAACTAACAAGTCACCAGGACTAGATGGTATCCATCCTAGAATTCCTAACTGAAATGTGAAATTTCCATTCTTCTGGTATGCAACATGTTCCTAAGGTCAGATCAGCTTCTGTACTAGAGGACTGGAGAGTGGCCAGTGTGACTCCCATTTTTAAAAAACGATCTGGGGGGATCCAGGACAGGTAGATGGATGAAAAGCATTATAAAATATAAAATCGTCAGGCATGTAGAAGGCCAAGCCCTGCTGAATTAAAAAAATGGCTTCAGCAAAGGTAGGTCCTGATTCACTAACCTTATAAAGTCCTTTGAAAGTTTTAATAAACATATGGACTGGAATGAGCCAGTAGACATTGTTTATGTGGATTTCCAAAATGCTTTTGACAAAGAGCTTTACCAAAGAATCCTGAGCGAATTTCAGGGTCATGGGACTCTTATGGATTAGAAATTGGCTAAAGAAGCAGACAGTAGGAGTAAATGCTCAGTTCTCACAATGAAGAGATGTGAACAGCGGGGCTCCTTAGCCTCTTAAGAACCTTAAGAAACTCAGGGACTTACACTTGAGTGTTTAGGCAGAAACTGAGAATAAAGCCTTTCTTCCTCAAAATTTCAGAGACGTTAAAAAGCAAAAACACCTACTTGTTGGCAACATATTATCTGGATTTAGTGCAATTACAAAGTTACCTCACTTTTTATTCTCTGTTCACCTCATACGTCCTACACCTGATTTCCAGGACACACAGAAGAAAGTATTTCATACACAGCACATAGTTGTTTTGTGGAACTTGCTGCCACAGGATGTGGACAAATCAATGCAAGACAAGGCTATCAGTGGCTACTAATCATGATGGATACCTACTCCCTCCAGTACCAGAGGTAGTATGCCTCTTTAAATCAGTTGCTGAGGAGCACAGGCAGGATGATGGTGTGACAAGTCTTCCTGGTTGTCAGCTTACTAGAGGTAGCTGGTTGGCCACTTTTTGAACAGAATGCTGGGCCAGACAGACCTTTGGTATGATTAACTGTGGCTCTTATGTTCCATACAGAGTGTAAATTTAAAAGGTGGGAATGTAAATATATAATATGATTGATGAATCCTCCTTAAAGTAAATTTTCACATTGTAATCAGTGAAATTACAATCCATATAGGAGTACATTAAGCGTGAGATCAGGATTTGTTTTATATCTGGTACTAGAAACTAAGCTATTTTTTCCTTTTGTAGATGATGCCTTTGTAGATCAAAGAATAATAGGACTTCAATGTGTCACCACAGTGCTTATTTGGGTAGCAAGACCATGTTGTTTCGTTGCCTCATAATGTGCTTACCTGAACAAATTTTCACAATTACACTGAATAAAGTCTGTAGCAATGTACGTTTGCTCATAGCTTTGAATTCATGGCTGGATAAAGCAACTGTTTCTTGAAGTCAATTTTTGTTTCCGCTGCCATGGTCTGGACTTTGTGGTTGGCACAGTTATGGAAGGCATTATCATCCCCATCTGATACCATTGTGCTGCATCAAGGTATACTTCCCCTCCCCCTATTAATTGAATTTTAATGTGCCACAATAAATCAGGGTTTTGATAATGAACTGGAGTACTACAGGGGTATATTACAGGTGTTGTGGCATAGTGAGTTTTAAAACGGTGCAGTAGAATCTTCCCAGTTGTATAGATATAGAAGTCTTATTTAAGCATTGTGTGAAATGCTGTACTTACGCAAGCTTTCCAGAAGAAACCGAAAACCGCTCAACAGATGCGCACCACTCCCGCGCCACCCTCTCTGACGGGCTCCCCCTCCATCTCCAAACTGCTGTTTCATAAAGAAAGGCTAGAGAACTTGTTATTGCCTCATGTGTAGTTTAGCCAATCCCAAGCGTCCTCATCTGAGTGACAGCCGAACTGCTAAATTATGAACAAAGGGGGATGAGAATCCAAGAGCAACCAATAAGCGCGAAGTAAAAGTATCTGTCGACCAGTCTTATTAAAGCAAAGGGGAGTAACTTGTCTCCGGAGTTTGGAGGCGGGACAGTCTTTGGAGTGGCGTGAGGCTGGCTAAATGAGATGGGAGCAGGGGGTTTGAACCGTCCAATGAGATGACCTAAAGAGCGATAACTATAAAACGAGATGCCGGAGGGGGGAGGCCACTGCAGTTGTCTCTTGCAGTCGCAGGGAGTAGAGGTGCGGGAATATCACCTCCCGGTCGCCTCTTTATCGGGCGCTTTTCTCCGGCTGGTTTTCCTCCACCATGACAACTACGACCACTTTCAAAGGGATGGATCCCAATGGCCGGAGCAGCTCCAGGTTCGAGAGGGGGTGCTGAGAATGAGGGAGACACGTGTTTGTGCAGTGCGTATGTGGGCGCGCAGAGTGGCTCAGGTCTCCATTGAGACGATGCCGGGGAAGAAGCGGTGGCTTAGTAAACGTCGCCGCTTCCTCCTCCTCGTGTGTGTATGGCTGACTCTCGGGTGGTCTCCTCAGCTTGCGATGCCGGGTTGTGATTCTCGCGGCGGTTGTGGCTCGTAGCCCATCGCTGTGAGCGGGAGGCAGAGCGAGAGAGAGAGAGAGAAGACCGACAGGAAGCAGTTGGAGCGGAATCCATCTCGCCTCTTTTCTCCTCCCTTCCCCTTTTCTGTGGAGAGACTGCGGCCTGTTGCCACCCCCTGGTTTCGCAGGGCTTCGGCCCCGGCGTCCCCACCCACGCCTCGTGGGAGCGCCCAGAGCAGGAGAAAGCGTTTCTTCCTGGTGGTGCCTCGCAGGCGAGGAATCAGCCATTCTCGTTTGCTCCTTATGCTCGCTAGGCCTTTTCCGCACATGTGGCACGCTTATTCTTCTCTTTGGACGCTTCTGGCAGCCCGCAGCAGGCAGCGTCCCCACTTTTCCGGGCCTGCGTAGGGAGTGGGAGGATCGCCACACCCCACCGCTCGGAGCCTGGAGCCTCTAAGAAGCTATTGTTGGGGGGGGGGGGGACGGGGGGAAGAGAGACCCCGCCGTTCCCGCTTTACTGGGAGGCTGTAGATTGGGCTAGTCCTTGGACCCCCCCCCCCACCTTCTACCCCACATATGCTCTTAGGCGGGGGGCGCACCCACCTAGGAATGTGCGGAGGCCTTTGAGCGGCTGGCGTGGTGCTTGTTGTAATCCTGATTCCTACCCTTTCCCCAGAGAAACAGCTGCCGAGGAGGCGGGGGTGAGCGGCAAGCCTGGGCTCTCTTCGGCGCAGCCCGATCAGCAATGCCTTTGCCTCCAACAAAGGAGGCATCTACTCCTCCCCGCTCAACCTCATAGCCGGGTTAGGCGCTGTCAAGTAATTCTGCGTCGCTTCCTGGCACGGTTTCTCGCCTTGCCGGGTTTTTTTGTGTGTGTTGGTAGCCAATGCCTTAGCCTGGTAACACTGTTACTGTAAGTGATTCTTCGCGCTGGGTGGGGCTTGAGCACACTTCTATTGTCTACCATCTGTAGCCGTCTCACCTGTTAAGTCCTGGCTCAGAGGTTGCAACTAGGTCGGCAACTTCCCTGGCATCCTCTGAAAGGCTGCCCCTATCTTGGTCCAACTTTTGCCTGTCAGTGGAACTTAAAGGAAGACTTTTAGTCTTGCCAGGACTTGGAGGTGTGTTAAGCTTATTGTGTACTGTCACTTTAAATGGATTAGACATTAAATACCGGCTTGGCTCTGATGCTGTCACTTTGAGCATCTTTTGTACTTGTCAGAAACCTGCAGTATTTCATTAGCTGTTCTGGGGTTTCTAGGGGGGGGGGGGGGGGATTATGGTTTTTTTGAAAACTTTTGAAGGAATGCCTTGTCTTGGACTAAAGGGAAACAGGAAGGGAGTTGAATTATTACCCAGTGCCGGGTGTTCTAGTGAGCATAAACTTAAAGTCTCAAGCAGGTCTCTAGAAAGGTGGGAAGTATATCTGCGGGAGTGTTTTAAAAAGAAATCAAGGACTACATGTCCTTGATCTAAAATGCTGTCACAACAAGGTTTCCTAATGCAGGGTCTTGGCACTGCCATCTCAGTAACCTCACATGTGGATGAACATCTTTTGGGTTCCTTGGCGGTTGGAATGTCCTCCGCCTGTAGAAGAACCCTGAAGTTGTTCATACACAAGCCCCTGATTTTGGCTGCTTTCATATACATTAAATAATGCACCTTCAATGCATTTTATTGATGGCTTGCAAATGGATATGCTCCTCCACACAGGGAAATTCAGTTGCAAACAATCACTACAGTACTTTATCCAACCTTGCCTTGTCCCAAACAGCAGAACCTCTTGTCTACTTCAGGCCTTTTGTCCATCTTTATCTAGTTCCTGTATCTGACCTTATTGTCTTTACCTTTTGGTTCCCTGGGTGTTAATATGATGCAGTGGAGTAACAGTTACTCTTCTAAAATTGTGGTGTCAAGCAGCAGTGGTATTACTGTCTTTCTTCTGGGGAAATGGGAGGGAGTGTTAGGATGGGGCAAGCAAGGCCATAAATGACAGGCCACTGAACTACGACTTTGGGGCACATGTATCAAGAAAAATCCTTTCTTTCAAATGACAAAGAGTATATTAGTTGGAAGGATTGCAGTTTGGTAAACAGACAGATTCTTTTCAAAGGCAGAAGCTTAATTATACAGGCATATTTAAATTCTGTTGATGCTGCTTCTCAAATTATATGTTTCCACAAATCAAGCTTCTGGAAGACCCTGACTTTTAAGCCTCTTTTTGACATTGGAAGGCCTTGCCAGCCATGCTAATGGTACAGAACTGTTACTTTTAAGATGAAGCAGTCTTATGAATGGCCACTTGTGTGGACACCTGTGATGACTAGGGGTGTGCAAAAAAACCTGGTATTTTTCAGATTTGGGTATATTGAACCCAAAAAATATCGGAGTTTTCCAATATTCCCCGATCCCAATACTAGCATGGTATTCAGATTTGGAATTTTTTGGAAATTCTGAATTTCTTTGACTCCATTATACCCTGTAAGGGACCGTTATAGTAAGTGGGTCCCCAAAGAGTATAATGGAGAATTGATCCAGGGGTATCTGGGGCTTGGGGGGGCTGTTTTTTGAGCTAGAGGCACCAAATTTGCAGCATAGCTGCTGGTGCCTCTCTTCAACCCCCCCCCTCAAATTTCAAAAAGATTGGACCAGGGGGTCCAATTCCATGAGCCCCCAGAGAAGGCGCCTATCCTCCATTGGTTTCAGTGGAGGGGAGAAAGTGTTTAAAGCGGTTGTGGTCCCTTTAAATGCCTTCTCCAAGCTGCAAGTGAACGCCGAAGGCATTTAAAGGGCTTGTATTCCAGCTCCTGCCAACCTAGCAGTTCGAAAGCAAGAAATTGCAAGTAGATAAATAGGTACCACTTCGGTGGGAAGGTAACAGCGTTCCGTGCACCTTGGTGTTTAGTCATGCCAGCCACATGACCACGGAAATGTCTTCGGACAGCGCTGGCTCTTCGGCTTTGAAACGGAGATGAGCACCGCAACCCTAGAGTTGGATTTGACTGGCTTTCGAGAAAGGGAACCTTTTTACTCCCTTTAAACACTTTCTCCAAGTGGTGAGTTTACCCAGAAGGCATTTAAAGGGACTGCAATCCCTTTAAACATGTTTTAACTTTGACTGTCCAGCGGTGCTAAAAAATCCCAAATATTTTATTTATTTTTATTTTTTGAATTTGTATCCCGCCCTCCCCTTAAAGGGCTCAGGGCAGCTTCCAACAATATAAATATAATACAACAATATCAATACAATACAATTAAAACCATGTTAAAACACATAAAAAGCCAATTGCCTCAGTGGTTGATAGTACTGGGGATAAATTTCTCAGAAATCTGTACAGTTTAGGATCTCAGACCCAGGCTATAAAATAGGGGCCGACCCAAGCTGTAAATGGGGCCGCCCCAAGGAGGGAGGGGGACGCCCGCTGCCTCAACCAAAAGCCCGGTGGAAGAGTTCCGTCTTGCAGGCCCTGCGGAATTGTAATAAATCCTTCAGGGCCCTGATCTCACTCGGGAGCTCATTCCACAGGGCAAGTCAAGTCTGGTGTCCCTGGGGCCAGGGACCACCAAAAGATGTTGATTGGTGGACCTCAGGTAGTTTTTTACCTTGCTTTTCTGAATTTGGGGGGTCTTAGCCATTTCAGATACCGAGAAAAATACCCAATTCTGAAAGAACAGCCAGAAAATAAATGTACAGGCCAAATAGAAGTTTGGTGAACTTCTCAGCAGTTTTTCTGCCATGTTTTTGTTCTGTTAGTTTTCATTGCGTAGCACTGCTTGATTATCTTATTAGATCTCTTCAGTTATGAAAACTTCCTGCCTGGGCATGGTCTTTCATGCAGAAATTTATAATAATTACAGATCTACAGAGATTACATTTATATT